TAAATAATGTCTGCGATATAAGTAAAATAAACTGCCAACAAGCAATTTAATTTAATTTTAATTTGAGCGATACAACTTTATCAATAAGCGCTTCAAGTTACAAATTTAAAAATTATTATAAAAGATCTAAAGTCATTCATTTCTATCGTAATTGGAAAAAAAAAAAAAAATTTCAAAATAAAATGTTTGTTTATTAGATTTTAGAAAAAAATAAGTTTAATTATAAAAATTAATCATATGAACATTACAAAATGATTCAAAACTTTTCCATTAATCAACAAAATCGTAAGAATTCACCCATTTGTCGGGAAACTAGGTTTGAATCCACAGACTACTCTTTTATGTGCTTTCATTTAGCACCACTTCACTCTATCACCTTTCTCTTTGTTCTATATCGCTCTCCCTCATCCCAAGACTGCACTCTTCTTGATGTTATTTCTGATTATATTGACCAAGCCCTCATTCTTTATCCATCAGCCAATATTGTTGTTGTCGGTGACTTTAATGTTCATCACACTGAATGGCTTGGCTCTAGTGTCAGTGACTCTGACACTAGAGCCAAATGTAAAGACTGCAGGCATTAAGGCCCACAACTTTTGTCTTTCTCAATCCCTAACTCAAATAGTCAACTTTCCAACTCGCTTTCCAGACAACCCGAATCATTTACCTTCTCTACTCGACTTATGTCTTGTTTCTGATCCTAGTCAGTGTTCAGTTTCTTCACACTCACCCTTAGGTGCGTCTGATCATGGTTTGGTCTCTCTAAAACTATTATCTCATTCTTCTTTACCATTAGAATCCCCCTATCATCGTACATCGTACAACTACCTTAAAGCTAACTGGGACTCTTTTCGTGACTTTCTTTGTGATGGCCCCTGGGTAGAAATCTTTCGTCTCCCTGTTGACAAATGTGCTTCTTACATAACTTCGTGGATTCAGGCTGGCATGGAATCCTTTATTCCCTCTCGACGATTCCAGGTCAAGCCTCACTCTTCTCCATGGTTTTCCTCACATTGTGCTGCTGCAATTGCCAATTGAAACCATTACTTCTATATCTATCAGCAAAACAATTCTCCAGAAAACAGACGTCTCTTTATTACTGCTAGGAACCATTGTAAAAAGGTTTTGTCTAACGCCAAAACCCGCTCAGATCATGAAATCTCGTATTTCATCACAAAAATTAGGCTCTCGTGACTTCTGGAGAATCTTTAATAGTATCAATAATAAGGGCAAGTCTGTAATTCCACCTCTTTTGTATGGTTCAGACTTTGTCACCTCACCTAAAGACAAAGCTGAATTGTTTGCCAAGAACTTTTCATCAATATTGTCTCTTGATGCCACTAGTTGCGTTTTACCTGATATACCCGTCAAACAGGTTGATCCATTGCTCGACATTCGTATCACTCCAGCTTCTGTATCTAAAGTGATTTCCCGCTTAGACTCTTCTACAGCTTGCGGCCTGGACAACATACCTGTTATAGTCTTGCAGAAGTGTTCTCCTGAGCTGTCGTCTATCTTTTCAAAACTATTCAACAAGTACTTATCAGAGTCTTGTTTTCCAGCCTGCTGGAAAGCAGCATCTGTTATCCCTATTTTTAAAAATTCTGGAGAGCGATCTGACTCATCTAACTACCGTCCCATTAGTCTTCTTCCTATCATAAGCAAGGTTTTTGAATCTTTAATTAACAAACACTTAATCTCTCATCTCGAATCTCATAACCTACTTTCTGATCATCAGTATGGATTTCGATCTTCTCGTTCTACGGCTGATTTGCTATCAGTAATAACCGATAGGTTTTATCGCGCATTAGATAAAGGTGGAGAGGTTAAGGCCATTGCTCTTGACATTTCTAAAGCTTTTGATAAAGTTTGGCATGCTGGTCTCCTCCATAAGCTTTCTTCTTATGGTGTATCTGGAAACATCTTTAAGATTATTGAATCCTTCCTTTCCAATCGTAGTATAAAAGTTGTCCTTGATGGACAGCACTCTTCTTCTTATTCTGTAACCTCAGGGGTTCCCCAAGGTTCAATTCTTGGCCCTATACTCTTTTTAATTTACATTAACGATCTTCCAGATATTCTCACATCTAAGGTGGCATTGTTCGCTGATGATACTACCATTTATTCTTGTCACGATAAGAAGCCAACTCCCTCTGATTGCTTGCAGGGGGCATCTGAGCTCGAAAAGGATCTCACTTCTGCTACAGCATGGGGCTCGCAGTGGCTGGTGAACTTTAATTCAGATAAAACTCAATTTTTTTCGGCCAATCGTTATCGCAATAATTTAGACCTTCCTATATTTATGAACGGTAATGTACTCAATGAGTCTCCTACCCTTCATCTTCTAGGATTAACTCTTACTTCTGATCTTTCTTGGAAACCTTATATCAAATCCGTTGCAAAATTAGCATCTGCTAAAGTTGCTTCTCTTTATCGAGCTCGTCACTTTCTTACTCTGGATTCTATTCTCTATCTCTATAAATCTCAAATCCGGCCTTGTATGGAATACTGTTGCCATATCTGGAGCGGATTTTCTAATGATGCCCTTTCTCTTTTAGACAAAGTGCAAAAACGCATTGTAAACATAGTTGGACCTGCTCTTGCAGCCAACCTTCAACCTCTGTCACATCGTCGTAATGTTGCTTCTCTTTCTCTTTTCTACAAATACTATAATGGGCACTGCTCTAAAGAGCTAGCGTCTCTTGTGCCATCTACTAAAATTCATTCTCGTGTTACTCGTCATTGAATTAAGTCTCATCCTTTTTCTGTTACTGTTCCTAAGTGCTCCAAAAACTCTTATTCGTCTAGTTTTTTTCCTCGAACATCAGTTCTTTGGAATTCACTTCCTTAATCTTGCTTTCCTGATTCATTTAATTTGCAATATTTTAAGTCGTCTGTCAATCGTTATCTTGCTCTACAATCTTCATCTTTTCTCTTCCAGTAACTTCCAACACTAATTAGTGGTTGCTTGCAACCTTGTTGGAAGCGAAGATAATTAAAAAAAAAAAAAACATGCTTATATAAGTAAATAAAGTTATTTTATATTCTTGTATAATTCACATAAAATGTGTAAAAGCTAGTAGTCACAAAAGGTTTTGAACTTATTCATAAATTAAAGTAACTTAAAAAAAAATTTTCTAAAAATAATGGTTTAAAAGATTTTTAGGAAGACACGGATTAATAGTTTCAAATGTTTAAATTTATCATAAGTAATACATGCCTACATAAAAAAAATTATAAAATAATTTTTTATTAATTTACACATGCATTTATGTAAACAATCATTATAATTAATTTTTATGGTTTTATTTAAAGACTTCGCATAAAATAAAAACTTTAGAAAAGATCAACAATTAAAATTTTTCATAACGTAACACTTTTTATTGCATTTAAATTGTTATAACATCAAAATAGCCGTGCTCAAGTTGTAAAGAAAAAAAATATTAGCGTGGTCGGTACAGAGTGCAATCGCACACCATTCCTGTCCAAGCGTGTTTTAAGAGAAAAAATATTTTCATATAAATTCTCTAATAACTGGATACTAAAGAAAAAGCTGAGGTATTAAAAAACTTACAGATAAGAACAGAAAAGCTAGACAGTGGGCATAAAGCTGAAGTTAAAAAATTATTTTAAATAATTTACATATTAATGTTGAATAACTAAAAGTTATAAAGTCATCCAATAAAACTATGCAATTTTGCTATGAACTACATAGACATTTTATAATTGTGTAAGTGTATGTAAATATGTCTCTCCTCTGATAAATGCTCCTTCTACATAATCTCCTGTATCTAGGCAGGTATGGAAGCTTTTATTCCTTTTTATCGGTTTTTAGTCAAGCCTCATTCTACTCAATTGTTTTCACCTTCTTTTGCAGCTGCTATATCTAATTATTTTTTTCAAAAGAATAACTTTCTAAAGAACAAATGCCTTTTTTTTATTGCAAGAACTGAGTGTAAAAAAGTGCTTTCTGATGATAAGCTCCATTATTTCCAGTTTATTAAATCTTGTATCTTATCTCAGAAGTTAAGCTCTAAAGACTTTTTGAAAATATTCAGCATTGTCATTAACAAACGTAAGTTGAACATTCCATCTCTAATTCATGGGTCTTATTACCTCTTCCAAGGATAAGACAGAATTATTTGCAAAGAATTTTTCCTCTAATTTGGCTCTTGAATCTAATGGCCATACCTTTCTTTCGTTGCAGTTAAACATCCAAATTATTCTGGCTTTTTTGTTTTTAAGTCATTTCTCTATTAAACTCTTATATAGCTTGTGGTTCAGACAACATTCCTGTCATAGTCTTACTAAAGTTATTTATCAAAGTGTTCTCCAGAACTCTATTTAATTTTCTCTAAACTCCTCAATAAGTGCTTGACTGAATCTTATTTTCCTGCCTGCTGGAAAATAGCATTTGTGGTTCCAATTTTTATTGCAATTTGGATTTTATAACAATTTGGATGCAGTCAGCATCTGCCCAAAATAAGTATTTTTATTAAGACACTATCTCTAGCCTTTACTCAACCAAGAGCCCCAAAGCAGGAGAAATTAAAGTGAATATATATTATGTAGTTGTGGTCACTAGTTGGTAACTGGGCTACACTACACCAGAGATTCAAGCAAAGCACAAACATACATATAGTAACTTACAGGTGAGCAAACACCAGGAAAGGCATTCAGACAGAACACAAATGTACATATAGTAACTTAAGGGCAAATGGACATCGTTCCAAAGGTTCAGATAGAATACAAACATTTATGGTTTGGAGTAGTATGAGTTGGAAAATTTTTTATTGATGAAAAAATGGATACTTTAATATATTGTGAAATTCTTAAACTTTCAACCATCAACTAAAAAAATGAGAATCGGAAATTATATTTTTATAGTCCTGGAGATTAACTTAATTTGTGTATAATTTTACATTTTTTCATTAGTAAAGTTATACACATAAACTAAACTACTTTTTTGTTTCTCTTTAATTATGTTTTCTTGGTTCTAGTTTACAAGCTAACTCAAGCACTGATTTGAACATTAAAAGTCAACTGGTTAAAGACCTTTTAAATATTGCTGGCTTTCGCTTGCCCAAATTTCTGCTACCATTTGAAATTTCCTAGTAAGTCATATTTGATTTCTTTCAAATTGTATGTTTATTATAAATTACTTTTTTTAAGGATTTATGCTTTATTATTTAAATTTTTAATGAATTTATGTTTTATTAATATAAATTAGCTGTGAGGACCCGTAGGATACAGCTCAGGTAAGTCTGTTCCACATCCAACTATATCTAGACTTGTTCTTAATTTATTCTCTTTACTTAAATATATTTTAGTAAACTGAAGAAAATTATTTGATTTAAAATTCTTGACTTTTGGTTAGCAAAAGTAACTTCAACATAGATAACAGTTGTGTAACATTTCTTCTAGTGTTTTTGGAAACTTAAAGCTATAATAAAAAATTTTATAAATTAATTTTTTTTAACCTTACATCAAGATTTATTTGAAAACTCAAAAATGTGACTAAATAGATAAAAAATAAGAAACTTTGTGAGATGGTGTTTTTCTTTCAAGAAAGTTTCAAGATTTATTGTTGCAAACTGAATTATTGGTTTTTAGTGATTTAAGTAGAGGTTATATATAGTCAGTTTCAGTTATGAAACAACCCAATATTTTTTTGTTTTAATGATAGACACTGACGTGAAGGTAAACCATGTTGTCTATCAACACAAAACACAATAATAGCATCACAAAATTAACAAATATCAGTTTAACACCATGAAATTCAGCACCTTTTAATCGTTAATTACTCAAAAACTACTTGACAAATTTTTTTGATTTTTTTGCACATGGAAGCTAATGTGTTGTTGTTTGATTGTAATGGTAATAAGTATTGTTATCATAGCTATCTGATTAAAATGAGTAAACAAATATAAATATAATTTGAAAAAATGTTTTAGAAAATTTTCTTTGAAATCCTTTATTGTCACAAGTTGACATCAAAAATGACTGGTGTTTCTCGATCATCTGTTAGATTTATTTTGTGGCAACATAAACAGACTCAATTTATTGGAAGAGAAGCTGGAAGTGGAAAGAAGAAAGGATTTAAAAATAAATATAAAGTAAAATCAATCATTCACTCCATAAAGGCAAATCCATGTCAGTCGCAGAGTGATCTTACAAGAAAATTGATAGAAATGACTTTGATAGAAAAAGTACTTGGATCTCAAGAATATAAAGCATATCATAAAAACCAAAGCGATCCATTTATGAAAATCCAATGAGAAAATCCAATGAGAAAACATTGATGAAGATCCAATGAGAAAACTCCAAAGCGATCAATTGATGGAGTAATTAAAGCAATTTGTCATTCCAAAATGCTATACAAACTTTTAAACTGAGAAAACCTGTGCATAATTGAAGACAATGAAACCTATTGCAAAAAGGTCTTTTCGCGATTGCCAGGGCAGCAATATTTTTGAAAGGTAGATATGTTGCTAAAAAAATTCAAGTATATTCAAACTGAAAAATTTGCTTCTAAATTACTTATTTGGCAAGCAATCTGCTCCTGTGGTTTAAAAAGTACACCATACATTACTTGTAAAACTTTGAACGCAGATTTATATATAAAAGAATGCTTAAAGAAATGCCTTCGGCTATTTATTAAAAAGCATGAAATGTCCACAATATTTTGGCCTGATTTAGCTACAGTTCACTACTCCAAGAAGTCTCTAGAATGGTATAAACAAAATGGCGTCAAATTTGTTCTTAAGGAAGCAAGTTCTCCAAATTGTCCTGAGCAGCGAGTTATTAAAAGTTATTGATCTATTATAAAAGAAATCTTATTGAAAAGCCAGAAATTAGCTACAAATAAAAATATGTCAAATACTCGCAAAGATATTCGGTTTCTATCTAAGCGTCCGATAAAAAATGTAAAAAATCATTGAAATAAATAATTCAATTTGCTTCAATATGTCAAAAAAATTACAATAATCTCTTAAGTAGTTTTTGCGTAATTTACCATTAAAGGGTGCTGAATTTCATCATGTTCAACTGATAGCATAACATATCACAGTAAACTCTCAATAACTTGAACTCCAAGCGACCAAAAAATTAGCTTGCTAGAGAATGTTAGTGTTGTTTGGAGTATAATCCATAAATAAAAGCTCAACTGGAATTTTAAAATTAGTTCAAGTTATTAAGAGTTATCGAGTTATCCAGAGTTTATTGTATATTATTTAACTACTAACAGCACACACATAGAAACGCTTACATAAACACTTACAAAATATTACAAATATTAAATAGGGGTTAGGATTATGCATCTTCCTTATAGAAGGATGTGGGACCCTTATTCACGCTTCTAAAAAAGATTTATTTTAAGAAGAAAAAGCTTAAACACAATCATAGTCTATGGTAATTTTATTATTTACGGTAAATACATTTAAGGTATACCTAAAACAAAGCAGTAAATCTAAAAATAAAAAGTAGCGAGTAAAATTTTAAAGCTTTTATAATAACCTATAAAACTATAAAATCACCATTAACAGATTTTGCTCCTGTTACTTTTGGGGCATAAAAATCTATAAGAAATATTTATTTTATTATGTTATTAAATTATTATGTATAATTTTTTATGTAAATTATTATGTATAATTATTATGTATATTTATATTATTAAATTATGTTGTATAATTTCAAAATACCGTTTTATGATTACACTAACTACAAACAGACTTGATTATGCATTTTATTACAGTGCAACACTTGGCTGCGAGGACAACTTTCTTGCTCTCAACAAAGCCACATCACATTATAAGTAGACCACTTGTCTAGTGAGGACAAAACTCTTGCTGTAAACTAAGACAAGTCACAACCATGAAAACAACATAATATATTAACAGATTATAATAAAGATAATAAAGATTTTAGAATTCAAAAAGTTTCAAAATTAATTTTAACCAATTACTTGTTAATTTTACTTATTGCATCAATTTTTAGGAAATTTTTGGTAAAGTCATATTTTTAGTTTTTATTTGATTTTGCTCAACGCAAAATCATTTGAAAACTAACAAAATTAAAAACTTTGATTAACATCAAGAATTTTTTTATTTTTTGTATATGAAAATTAATATTTTATTGAACTTGAATTCAGATATCCAATAATTTTATGTAAAAAATAATAAACAATAACAACACAAAAAAAAACAATAAAAAAGGAGTTTTTTTTTACCTTCTACCCATGACATTTCCATAATATTCAAATGTTATCTATAGTATTTGCATTTATATTTTTTTAATTTAAAGATAGTCAAATATTCACAACATTTTTTATAATTATAGAAAAAGATAAATTTTAAGTCAGAGTTATCAGTTGTTATTGTTTATCTTTTATATGTCACAATTTAGTTCAATGTTTATTCCTTTTATGTTGCAATTTAGTTCATTCCTTTTTTATTTCTTGATTTGGTTTAATGCTCATTCCTTTTTTATGTCTCGATTTGGTTAAATGCTCATTCCTTATATAGAGCTATCACTGTTTTTAGTCATTACTGATCAGCATCAGATTTTTCACTGTTTTTTGTTTTTTAATTAGTTACTATTGATGAAATGAGTAGCATTGATTGACTCTGTATTTTTGGTAATACAGAGTCAATCAAAAGTCTAACAATGTTTTTGTAAGTCTAACAGTGGTAGTGTATTAAAGTACATGATTATGCATTCTTTATGCAGTTCAAATATTTTTAATAGTTTCTTAAGTTTATAATATTAAAAATATTTCTTATTTTATGTTAAGATTATCTTTGAATTTTGTTTATATTATTTTGTATGTGAATAATTTGTTTTAGTTTAGAAAATAATTTTAATTATTCTGAATTAATTGTTTTATGTTTTGGAAGTGATTAAATGTTCTGAATCATTTAAGTTTTAAGAAGTGATTTCAACTGTTTTAAATCATTTATTTTAGTTTCGGAGATGATTTCAACTGTTCTAAATATTTCATACCAAACCAAAGTTTGAAGGTATTTTTACATATAAATTTAGCACACTATAATATAATGACAGTAATGGTAATAATTGCTAATAAATATGAATAAATATTTATATGAATAAAGTATATTTACTTTAGAATGCAAAAAACTTGCTATTAAAGTCTCTTTCCCCTGATGACATTAAAATTCTCATTGAGGCTGAAGATGAGGTAATTATTTTTTTTTTTTTTTCTTTGTTTTTTTATCTGATAGTATTTTTACAAGGTAGTAGTTTTGTAGTAGATTGTAGGACTTTCAAAAGTAGGATTAGGTCTGGACCTAGAAGATAAGTCTGCAGTAGAATTATCCTTGCATATGTTACGCCAAATTCAGCACTGTTGTTGCTGAATTTGCCAAATATGAAAATTACTGTAATTTGCAAATTCAGTAACAACTGTGCCGAATTCGCAAAATTATCATGTTTCTGTATCAGATTTATGTTTCTTAAATACTTTAGCGTGTTCAATGTTGTGTATAACTGAGAAAGCCACCACCCCTAGATATGTTTTGCAAAATTTACATATTGTATAGTTAGTTTCATTTACTTTGATTGTAAAATAGTCCTATATCTTGCTTTTCTTTCGTTTTGGGACTGAAATCGATCAATGTATATATTCTGAAATTAAGATAATATTTATAGAAATGAAATAATTAATATAGCAATAATAATAAAAACAACAAGAATTATTTTTAATAATATAATAAAATAAAAAATATATATATATTAATGTTGTTTCCACACTTTTCGTAAGTTCAAATATCAGAAAATTTGATGAAAGGTATGCATAAGTACAATACTTACTTCTGTTAAGGTTTTTGTTCACAGTTACTTAAGTTTAACATTGATGTTAAACGTTAAATTGAGATTTTAATGCAAAATAAACAAAAGTTAAAGCTCTGAAGAACATTTTTGTTAGTTACTCTAGCGAAAAATGTTTTTATTTTAGGAATATTTTCACGGGAGCATTTATAAAAAAAGTAATATTGTTAAAACGTAAAAATAAAAATTTTGTTTTTAAGTTAATCAGAAGATTATCATGATTCTTTTTGATTCCTTGTAAATCGATGGAATCAGGATCGACATCTAATAACATAACATTTTAATTTTTAATTTTTTAACTTAATTTTGCTTTTATATTTAAAATATCATTAATAAGAATATATATTAAAACAAATTTAATTTTTTTGTATATAAAAGCTAAAATCCTTCTCCTTTACATCATGATAAGAAAAGTCACTGTTAAATTAATCAGAATTATATTTAATATTTTATTTTATAATCATGTTTTATATTCAAAGTTTTATGAATTTGTTTTCAATATAATAAAATTTTTGATGTTAGTAATTGTGTTCTCTTAATTGTGTTTTTCTTTAATTTGTTGATGTTAGTAATTTTTTTCTTTTAATCAACAGCTTAGTCGAAGTGGATGCTTTGAAAGAATTTTCCCATCAACATCATCAAAACCATATTTAAATTTTTTTAAATCCTGCGTAAGTAAACAATTGATATTATGTACATTTGTAGTTTTGAATCATTTAATTTTCATTTATTATTTTTAGTAAATTTTTTATATGTAAAGTAATTTTATGGTATTCTTTTTCTACATTTCTCAAGATGTTTTGTAAAATTTATTCTATAGTCTTTTAGAGTAACAAAAATTATCAAAATCAATGCAAATTTACTTGTTCTAGAGTAGCAAAATCAAATTTACTTGAAAATAAAAGTACACAATATTTGTAATAAAGTAAGAACATCATAGAATGTAAACTTTTTAATTTGTTAAATTTTAAAAAGAAAATAGACAAATACCTATTTTTCCCCATTTCTATGACAAAATGGGGTATTTATGTAACAGTATACAATATAAACTTATAATATAACTATAAACTTATTATATTATAGCCAGTTACAGCCATAACCTAAAATCTATAGGAGTTTATAGGCTAAATATAATTTATTGCAAGTCATAGGTATAAAATCTAAAATAATATGCTAGTAGTAGTACTAGCTAGTATACCAATAGTGATATATAAAATCTACTATAATATTTTAGGTCTATTTGTCCATTTTATAGAATAAAATTACAGTTAAGCAAATTAAAATACAATTAAAAAATTACAAATAAGCAAAAAACATTATACGTGTATATAAGTACATGGTTTAAAAGAATTACAAAGTTTGGGTAAATTTTGGAAGAACTCTATTTTGCCTTATTGAAACTACCTTTTTTTACCTGATTTTAGTATGGCACATTAAAATGCATTATAATTGAAACTGATTGATTTTATTGTTAAATTTAAGACCCTATTTGTCAACAATATGATATTACTTAGTTACAATAGAAGCTTTAGTTCAAAGCTTTTATTATTAAGTACCAGTTTCTTAAGTCGTATGTTAAAAAAATTAGATGAAAGAGGTGTTAAAATTTGTTTTTACCTTGTAACAATAATGTTGAATGAAGCAGTTGACTAGAGCTCAAGATAGCACTGTCTTGTATCATGTTTTTTCAAATCCAATAAATTACAATAGTTTTTGAGGCTCTGAAAAGGGTGTATTTGTAAAACCCCATTTTACGCCTTTACTCCAGTTTTCCTTACATTTTTCAAAGTTTTTTTGATTCATTCAGCAAAGATAATCTTAGAAGATATAAAGTAGAGGACTCAGTAAGAGCGTTGCTATTCATCAATGTGAAATATTAACAATAATGCAACAAGTATTCACAGTAAATAACTGGGTTATTGCAATAAGTATTAGCAAGAGTTTTGTCTGCATTAAAATTTACCACCCACTACAAGCCCCAAGTCGTAACAAAGAGAGATACTAGATAAGATCTGTTGCCTGCTCTAAGTAATCCAAAGTAATGATTAATAAAAAAACCGTTGTCCATCAAAGATAACTTTAACATTGTCGAGGAATAATTCAATAATTTTTTAAATTTTCTAAGAAATAAATCTTAGATTATACAAAGAGAGCTAACAGAGAAGACCAGCATGACAGACTATTCAAAGCTTTTGATGTGTTGAGGGAGATGACCTATGCCTTCTATCTAGCGTACAGTAGAGTCTGTTATTATGGTTGAGTAATAACTTTATCAATGGAAGTGATTTGAGTGTCCAACAATGGACTAATCTATTTCTCTGGATGTCAAGTAGAATTTGGTTATACCATTAAAAAGATGAATTAGAGGAAAAGCAACTTGTTAAAGAAGTGGTAAGATCAGACTCTTTTTCAATAGACAGTAAATAATTTTATTTGGTTGAAAGAACATTTTGCAGACTAGAAATAAGCATGTATGTATTATACAATGTCGAGATATTTGTTTAAATGTCATAGAAATCATTAGTTAACAGAAATTTAAAGACATCATTAGTTTTTATTGGAGGGTTTGCATTATTGTTGGCATCTTGTCCAGGTCAGTGATTTGTTTTATCAACAAGATTGATACTTTATATACAACTATTTGTTCCATTGAACTAATTATCGATTCTGGAACTTTCTGCCAATATCATCACCGTTATCTTCCTCAATGTGTCTTAAAGATAAAGTTAAAAAGAAAAAATTTAGTTCGCCTGCAATAATCCAGGACCAACAGCAGATACGAGCAATAATGTAGAAATTACTAATTTCTTATTAAGATGTTTTAAAAATTTTTAAAAAAGGTTTGAAAAAAGTTTAAAGACTGCCATAGCTTTTTTGTTTTTTTTGTTAACAGTGTCTTTAGTTTTTTCATATGGGTTGCCTAACAGTTTTTGGTTTTTAGAACTTAATGTTTTATATAAGTTGTTCGAAAAAAACATAAATATGTGATTTAAATTACTACTAATGTCTAAACTATTTTATTTTTGAAATTATGAAAGAAAAAAAAGTGTAATAATTTATCATTTTACATAATTACAATAATTTCAACACACGTTTCTCATTACACATCATTACAACAATTTCAACAAACGGTATAGGTTTTTTTCAGCAAATTAATATATTTATCTAACCTAATGATTCAATCATATTACATATAAAACAGTTTACTTATAAGTAACACAATAACAATAATAAGTGATAGGAAATAGCACATTCTATCCTACTTAAATGAAACAATTTTGCAAATATTTTATAAAGTTTAATATGATTATAACTTTAAAATTGATTTTGTAGGAGGATTTCATGATCCTACTGAACAACGAGCGACAGTTTCTTCAATTGAAATTCTCTTAACAGAGACTTGACAGATAAGGAGTAGAAAAGTATTGGAATTTTTCAGAAAGAAGTGGCTCTTATTTACTGATAGTTCCACCAGGATCAGGTGAAGAGATTGTATCTGACTCATTGAAGTGATTTTTTTATTCATAACTTGTGTTATTATCACTGTTTATGTTGCTGCTACAATACATCTTACAATATTGGTGCAAGATGTTTTGTAGCAACAGTAGTCTCTCATCCATTCTTACAAGTTACATTCTTACATAGCTTCTAAAATCTCAATTCAGTTCAAGTCTGACACAAAGAAGTTTTTCTTACATCATCAATTGAAAAAGACAGATTTTTTGATTTTATAAATTCTGTTACATTCTGGTAATTCCAAGGTGACAAAGAGATTCAGTAGTTCCATAAGAGAGGGTGTATTTATTATGATAAAGTGACAAGTTCTGGGGAGAGCATCAGCAACAAAGTTGTTTCATCCAGTGCAATAAAATATGTTATAGTTGTATGAAGAAAGTTCTCCACCTTAGAAGCTTGTCATTTTTAAAATTTACAATTATTGTATTACTTATTATTGTCAAACATAAATGAGGCTGAGCACTGATCAGTGACTAGGGTGAAGTAATGACCAACAAGGTAATATTTCCATTTTCGTAGAGTTAATACAATAGCATAAGCTTCCTTCTCAGTCTGATTGAGAGAAGTTGCTATAGCATAATCTGAGGCATCAGTTTCAACTTCAAATGGAATATTTTCATCAATAGCTTGTAGAGCTGATTTAGAAATTAATTCTTTCATTTCATTAAAACACTTAATCGCTTCAGCAGACAGAGGAAAGGTAGAAGTTGGAGATAAAGGGTAGATTTTGTATGTATGTAGTATGAGAACATACCAAGAACTTGATGGAGAGAGTCACTATCAGTGGAAAGAAAGATTTTAATTAAGGGCTTTAAGCCTGGATTAGAAAAAAAAGCCACTTTTTATAATATAACAAGTTTATAAACAAAGTAGATTTTCTTTATTGAATGTAAACATTGCTTTTTTAGAAACTTATAGATATTTCTCTAAACTAAAACCATGTTTATTTTTAGATGTAACACTGAAACCATTTTTATTTTTAGATTTATTTTTATTTAACACAAGTTATCTAGACGACAAAGATGTCTTCTCTTTTTTTCTATGATAAAGTTATCTGTGGTTCTTTAAAATTGCGCTATGAGAACAAAAGGAATTCTTTAAACTGGAAAAGCTGTCTATTGGATTCGAATTTAGGATAATATTTGTTACTTTCTAGGAGAAGTATTCTGTGATAAGCACTTTTTAAATCAAAAGTGCTAAATAATGAATATTTTTTAATTGAGTTTAATTCATTAATGTTAAGTAAAGTATAAGTATCAAGTAAAGTTTATTGTGAGTGAACATGCGTTTTTTATGTCTCATTCTTAAAATCTTCAATTTGTGATCACCAAAGAAATTTACTGGGTTTAGTTATATCTGGTTTCAAATTATTATTTTTTGTTTCTTGTTCAATAAATGTTTTGTCTTCTGAGTTACATCGTCTGGAGAGTAAAGCAATGAGTCTACATTTAAGAAATAGAAAAAAGAAAGAAGTGCTAGCTTTCATTGTAACACTTGTTACGCAACAGAATTTTTTAAAGAATTTTTTTCACCATCATAACTGATTTGTAGTTGATCATAAAAGACTTGCAACTGAAGAAAATCTCCATCAAGTATAACTAATTCGCAAAAGTTGTGTATAACCAAAAAGTTTATATAGGAGTACTCCATATCAAAAAAAATAAAATTAGTTACTACTTTACCTATAACTTGACAAGATAAGGAAGGATCAGCTACAGAGACTCTGCCATTAGAAGTGAGTATGTTAAGTAAATGACAAAACTTCTAAAAAGAACTCTAAGCTTAGTTTCAACAGTAAACAATTAAGTGAGTTACCATAGAAATGTTTCTGTTTCAGATAGTGAGTGTCATGCATTAAAAAACAGAAATATAGTTAAAATAATGATTTTTCAAGACATTATGACAGTATGTTAAATGAAGGGTTATGTTATACGGTTTGTTAAATTAAAGGTTATGGAAATTTGAATTTAAAACTAAAGTTGTCATTCCTTAAGTATAAAAATAACAACACTATAAGTAATTGATTTTAAGCTAACTTAAGACAAGAGAAAGGAGTTGAATTTTGCTGAATTTTATAGATGCCGTATGTATTGCTTTAACCTTTTCATGCACCAATTATGATGCAATATTACAAAAAAAAATCTAATGTTTTCTTAAAAAACAAACATGTAGTTAACTAAAAAAAATCTAATGTTTTCTTAAAAACAAACATGTAATTAACTAAAAAAAAAACAGGTAAATAACTAAAAAATTGAACTTTTACAATACTAACAAAATGTTTTTTTAAATTGTTGTTGCAGAACAACACTGTTCATTAACGACCTATTTATTAACAGTCTTATATAGTAAACAATCTTTAGTTATTCGATAGATAACTATGAAGTAAAATAAAAAATTTAAACCTTGAAAAGGGAGTTTTTTAAACTATTTGAATAATTTCATTTTATTAATTTATATGAAGTTTTACCCTTAGATTGACCTAAACACAATATGACCAAATATCAACTTTTGTTGCTAATTTTTTAATTATATACTCGATGTTTGTTATGTGACAGGAACAAAAATAATCTTTTTTGAGCATAACATATTGTTATTTACAAGTAATGTAACTTTGAGTTAGGCTAAATATTACATTTCCACCCATAAAAATTCTAGGATTTTTATCAATTCTAAATTTGTCTGCTCCTCAATACACTTCAAAATCATACACTATTCCAGAAATTTTTATCTTAAGTTTTTTTTTTTTTATTTTGTTAATTTTTTGTTTTAAAATGTAAAACTTTTATCCTCATTTATTAGGTTATTTGGAAGGTACTTATTTTGTCATGCTGAGGGTGTTCTTTTATTTTTTCATGCTGAGGCTGTTCTTTTATTTTGTCATGCTGAGGACAACTAAAGGTTTGCCTTTCTGTTGCAGACTGAAAATATTTTTAACAATTTTTTCTATAATATTATCATCAAACATCTCTTTGAAATATTGGATATTGGTAGGGTGTAAGAATGGGATCAGGTGGTGGTGGATAATCTTATCCTAAAAACTTTGTGTTTATTTCATGCGAACCTCTTTTTTGCCATCTGAATATATGGTTATCAACATTAACAACATTTATTTCTGAACTTTCCACAATATTTGATTTGAATTCATAAAGAATATCTTTATTTATGTCACTTAAATCAATTTCGCTTTCACTATTATATTCATTGTCACTATTATCAAGTTCTTCAATTAGTGGGACATTATTTTGACCTCTGTGTTTGCTTAAATTACCATAAAATTTTCTATTTGTTATTATACTCCTCTAAACATTTTGTTTTAAATTAATATAATAAACAAAAAAGTATAATAAGCGAAAAAAAAAGTTGTTGCATCATAACTTTTCTTAGTTATTTATAAAAATATCCTTGTAAAAACATAATTCCCTAATAAAATAATGAAATAGAATAACATCTACTAAAGAATTTAAATACTAAATGTTGTTATGATACAATCATCATAACTTTTTTTTTCGTAACAATAAATGTTGCCAAAGTTATACTGCTTTTATATCGTTAATGCACAAAGTGCATTAACGATATAAAATATTGTTGATCTTATGTTGATATTAAAATATTGTTGATCTTTTTCATACAAAGGTGCTTTTTGTTTTTTGTAGCATTTAATATCTGTTTTGAAATTAATAGTTCTTGAAATTGTGCTTTGTTTCACCTTAAAATATGACGCTAAATACTTTTGACTAATACCAGTTGAATTATTTAGCATTTTAGTCAATCGTTTGACTTTTTTCTTATCCATTTTTGGAGGACAACCTGATCTAACCAAATCATTATACACACCATACTTCTCATACCTTGCAAGAATACTTAATATAGTTGACTTTGGTATTCCTTCATTTTTAAAATGTTTATATGTTAATTTCTTTTTACCACTTGAACGATTTTCATAGAACGTTACAATTCGTTTTGCGAGGGCTTCTCGATCAAACCTTGTCATTTTTTTTGTATAGAAGTCTAGATAAAAATTAAAAGTGATTTAAATACATTAATGTTTGATCTTCAAAATAAACAACAAGTTGAAGGTTGAAAAATTACTCTCCTTATTTAAATCAGTTTCAAAAAAAGTTCGAAGACTTATGCATAACTCGTTACTCAGAATTTACATTTGAATCATTCAAAATTTGACGGCTACTTGCGCCAACAAACTTACCTTCAAATAACAGTTACATCTATCAAGACATGAAATCAAATAGTTTTTTAACACTATTTGTGCTTATTATTTTACATAGATACTAAATCAGTTTGAAGCACCTCATAGAGACATTTTTAATGTGTTGTTCTGCAACAACCCGCTACGCGTTAAGATGATAATTATGATGTTTTAAATTTTAAGATTTTTATCATGCATTGATTTACTAAAAGTTTGTTAAGTTTTTTATTGTGTTTATTAGGATATGTATAAGATTTTTTATGTCTAAACTTTTTTTCAGCGGCATTACAATCTTCTTTTGGATAAATGGACACAATTGTACATGAGAGACACATTTCAACCTTTAGCTGGTAACTTTTTTATTCTAAGATGATACTTTCCGCGTGGCGATTACATATACTTTTTTATTCCATATTTTTGACGCTGCTTTTTTTTAGGGATACGTTTATTGAAGTCTTTAACCGATATTCAAGTTTAATCTGAATCCGATATACACTAAAGTTATGTAAACGTCAATATTTAACTTAATTTGAGTTGAAAACATTTTATTTTTTTCAGTTTTTAACTTATTAGTCGTAACACAATAAAATTCGTGATATATGCTCTCGTAATACAATAAAATCCGAGATAAGTGAACAAAAAAAAACACGTTTATAAAAATTTTCTTATTTACAAGAGTAATTTAAAATATTGTCATTTAAAGAGAATGAATTTCTTTAATTTATTTTTAATGACACGAAAAGAAATTGATAAATTAATATTAGGTAAAACGATTTTGTTCCAGAGACTGGATGCATGAGAAGCTATTGTTTGTAAAGATTATAAAAATATTATTCTATTATAATAATATTATAAGGTTATAAAAAGTACGCAACATGCTTTTGTTAGTACTTAAGCATTATTTACTTTTACTTCCCCAACCATAATTTTGCATCAATTAAATCCTGATCAATAAAAGTACCATGTAATTGAATAACTTAATTATTATAATAAGTAAGATTTTTAAGTATACTTAAAAATGCATTTTCTGGGGCACTTTTTTGTCATGAAAAATTGATGAAACAACATTGCAAAGTAAAGAAACTTATATGATCAACTTTCATTCAAAATAAACTTCAAAGAAACTGATTTAGTGCATCAATATTAAAATTGCAACATGGTTTTAAAATTACTTCAAATTCTTTAAATTCTTACTAATTTAATAATAATAGAAAAATACAACAAACACACATGTATATAAAACGCACATATATATGTACAAAATACATATATATGCAAAACACGCATATATACAAAACACAGACACATATATATATATAGATATAGATATATATATAGATATATATGTAAAAGACATATATACAAAACATACGTGCATTAATTTATAACTTTTATTTAAAAACTTAAACCTATACAAAATGAAAAATTTATTGTATTTTTTATAATCTTTTCTTTCACTTGATATGATTCTTTGGTATTGTGGTTTATCCTCCTCCGGCTAATTGCCATATAGAGGCCACATTACCAAGGCCCGCAAAGACTAGTTCAGCTCCAAAAGGAACGTCATAACCCGCTTTACGGACCGAGGGTAAGGTGACTTTGGGAAGAACGAAGATACATTAGAGTGAAAGATAGAAGTCGTGTTAGAAAGATTGCATTGAGAAAGCCTACAGGATTGCACACGATGTTAGAAGGTGCAATACGTACTGTTAATTAGGTCACCTAATTAATGTATGGTGACAAAGACTTAGGTGACAAAGACTTACTGTTAATTAGGTCACCTAAATAATGTACCGTGATAAAGAGGTCACTTGATATGACTCTTTCCTCAACTTTCTTTGTCGTCCTTGGTGCATTAGAAAACTAACCTTTTATATAAAAATTAGATACTATATTGCTGGTATTGTGGTTTATCCTCTTCCATCTAATTCCTATATAGAGGCCACATTACCAAGGCCCACAAAGACTAGTTCCGCTCCCAAAGGAACATCATAACGTCATATTTACGGACCGAGAGTAAAGTGAGTTTGGGAAGAACGAAGATATGTTATTTACTGTAAGATATGTTAGAGTGAAAGACAGAAGTAGTCGAATTAGAAAGGTAGCATAGAGAAAGCGGACAGGATTGCACACGATGATAGAAGTTGAAAAACGTACTGTTAGTTAGGACATCTAACTAATGTACGCCTTCCGATGATATATTGTATAACTAGATGTCTAACTTCGATCCGAAAAGTGAAGCCGTTTCTTGCCTTTTTTACAAATAGTGGATTAAATTTGTAAACAAATATTTTTAACTTTTCTTTTCTTAAATGAAGTAAATATATTTTAAATTAAAATTAAAATTAAGCAGCCGTGGCGCAGTGGTAGCACACTTGCCTCAGAAACATAAAATCTTTGGTTCGAACCCCACCTCTGGGCAAGTTTTGCGACATCGGTTGGGAAGGAGGCGTGAACTTCCTATTAAATGCTACATTAAAAAAAACATTAAAAAAAAAAAAAATACTATTTACGTAAAAGTGTTAAGCGAAAATTATAATACTTGTAAAATAATAATTTATGATTCTATAATTTATTTTCGATTAAAAAGGGATTAAAGTTTTGAACAGAAAAGTAAAATGTCTTACTATTTTGAAATATTTTTATGAATTAAAATAGTTTTTAATAAATATAGGCTCATAAAAAAACTTTTAAAAGTATTTCATAACTGTTAAAACGTGTTTTTGAATTATCTTTAATTTATCGGGAACTTTTGACTTGCATTTTTAACTTTATTTCTACACTTCGGCTTCAGCTTTTACAAATGGCGGAAATTTTGACCTTGTACCATGATTTGGGATTGGTAGTTCTTCTGTAACGTTTAATGTCTTTCTTCGTTTAGACGTTCTTTGGTAGTGATAGTTATCAAAATTTGTATAACATTTTTTGCAATATACCGCATTGTTGTTGCAAAGCTATTGCAGAAAATCCTCACATTGTAGTCTGAAAGTTAAATCAATTGTCGAACTACCTGTATAAAATAAATCTCAATTTTAAGCAAAAGATTACTTACTAGATTCTTTGAGATAAATAATAAAAAAAAGTAATTTTGAGTGAAAAAGTTAAACTCTGCTTCGATACTTAAAAAAGTATGACAGTAGAACGGATAAAGGTGGGGGGGACTTGGGGGACTATAGCCCCGGGCCCCGTATATTTAGGGGCTCCAAAAAATTTTAAAGGACCTTTTTTTTTTAAGTCATTTTTAGGCTCTAGCCCATAAAAGGGCCTCCAAAAACAAAAATAGCCCGGGCCCAAGAAGTGTTAATCCACTGGAATATGATTATACCTGATAAGGAAATATTATCCTCTATCTGATAAATTCAAGTAACTTATCCTCTGTCAAAAACAAATGACAAAAAAAGATGTATTAAAAACTAATATATTGCTATATAATCAAACATTCCTTTGAACTTTTCTAGATTACTGAGTACTGTTTTATATCCAGTGCACTACGTAGGTTTTTCGATTTAGAAGAATTAATAATGTTGCAACTATTTGATGATTCCTTTTGACATATGAAGCATTTATCCCACTAAGTCACATTACTTGTTGTTGTGGGCCTGTTGCCCTGTGTACCGTGTTGCAGCATTTACAAATTTAAAACTCTTCTGAGACATTTGAAATTAACTTCTAAGGGTTAATTTTGTTAAATGATTATTGACTCACTTATTTTACATAAATATGGTAAAATAACATTAAAAATCATCTGGAAATAGCCTAATATTGACTTATTGTAGTCGATAAATGCTAATAAAAAGTTAAATTTTAAAAAAATTTAAACTACAAATATATCAATTTATTTGGTAAACTCCTCTGGAAATACCAAAAAATGTAATGCATGGCGTTTGTATTCACGAAAGTTATTTATTATAAAAGGTATATTTACAAAAAACAAACATATCTTCGTTTTTTTATTTACATAAATTGTTTGCACTTACCTAAATAAATAAATCAACTCTATTTATTATAAAACTTTTACAATATGACCTCCCGTCTATATTTCAAGCCACAAAATGAATTTTTTAAGTCCATTTCTCTAAAAATAGAAAACTCTATAACTCAAAAACTAAATCATCTACAAGTGGGGTCTTTTTCTAAATCATTTTGTATAGTTTTAAGAACAATTTCGTGTTGGTATCACAATTTCAACTATTTTGCTAAATATTTAACTTTACAGCCCCCACTACAATAATCCAGCAAGTTAAAAACCTAGTTATACAATATTATATAATATATCATTTTCGCCGTTGTAGCCTTGATTACAGTTTAAGCTAAGCGAACAACTCTTCAACTTTGTTTGTAGTCCTTAGCTACTATAATACTTGCGGGTTTGTTTTTAAAAGTAATTTTTATTCATTAACAAATCTTTTTACATTGCTTTTAGGTTTGTAATTTTTTTTTTTTAATAATATAGTTTGTTCGATATTCTATAAACATCTTTTCATTTTTAAAATCTGCCAAGATTGCTTGTGGGGTTGTATTTATTATTAAATCTTTTTTTAATACTTTTTTTTAAAAAAGAATTTTTTTTAATAAAATTGCAAAAATAACTTATAACATAATTTTGTTTTATATTAATGTAAAAATATATTACATATGTTGGAGGACGAGGGTTGCAATGCAAATGAAACATTTGTACTTTATATTATTTTACTTTTATATAAAAAAAATTTTATCCTTTAAAAAAAATATTCCGCTCCTTTAATCAGGAAATACACCGTTTCATTAATAAGGATAAAAAGTTCGATTTAATTACAAATGGGTTGACAAACGCATTGTTAAATATCGTAATTCTCTGTAAAGACTAAAAAGTTAAAAATATAATAGAGCAAAAACATTTGGTAAAAAATATTATTTTCTTTGTACTAAAAAGTAGAAAATACATTTTTTGATTTGAATTTAATAGTTCAGTAAACTAAAGATTGACAGGTATGTTTCTATATAAATCTTTTTTTCTTTTTTTTTTTTTTTGTTTACATTTGACGTAATCTGATAATATGAATACTTTAATTTAAAATTATTATTATTAGTCGAGTTAAGTCATTTTCTAGGCTTTTCTATTTTAAAGTAGTTTCTAGGCTTTTCTATACGCGGTTTTTTTTTTAATTTTATTTACTAACAACGCGTATTACGGGTTCTTACTGCTAGTATATATAAATTACATATTTTTCAAATACAAACAAGGCTAAAAGAAGATCACAATGATCTTATTGTCAGAAGCCTTTTACAAAAGAGAGTACGTAACATAGTATAAACACGCCTTTTTACAATAAAAGTACGTAAAAATCATATAAAAACAATAAATCGTTTTACATAAATGAAAATAAATTGTAAACAAGTATAAAACAAAACTTGAACATACATGACAATAAAGTTTATTATTATTTTGTTTTTTAACACAAGTTAAATTAAAAATATTCTAAGATATTTTCAATAGAAAGAATGTGGTCTTTTAATTTATTTTTAAAAACAGGATAAGTTGGGGTAGGTCGAAGTTAGGCAAAATAATTTTGTTCCAGAGATGAGCTGCACGATAAGTGATACAAAATTGATTGAATTTTGTTCGACAGAATGGTTTATTTAAATAGTTATTATTCCTCATGTTAAACTTGCTTAATGGCTTCAAAATAAAAAGGTCTTTAAAAATTAAAGGAGATAAATCATGCTTTCACATATAGACAAAATATAAATTTTTATATACGTTTAGTTTATATATATCTTGGATTTTCATTTGATTAAAAAATATCGAGGAATGTGCGAACCGATCCGCAGAATTAATTAAACGGACCGCATGTTTCTGACGATAGAGACATTGTAACTTGCTTTGATCAGTGCTACCCCAGGCAATAACTCCATAACTTATATAACTGTGGATAAAAGAGTAATAAAGTTTAGTTAAACTATTTTTATCTAAATGAGTACGCGTCTTATATAAAATTCCGATATTTTTTGAAACTTTCGAGCAAACATAGTTAATATGATGTTTCCATATGATGTTCTTGTCAATAAAAACCCCCAGGTATTTAGTTACAAAATCTCTTTTAATTTCAATATCGTCAATAAGAATTTTTGGTAGATTTGGAGGTAGAAAACGTTTTTTGGAGAGCGGGTGGAAAAAAATCCATTTTGTTTTGGTTATATTTAATGTCAATTTGTTACTTTTAAACCATTTAGATATGTTTTGAAGTTCTTTGTTCATCATCGAGAAAAGTAGATAGATGTCACTGTTAGAGAGAAATAAGTTTGTGTCATCAGCAAACATAATACTTAGAAGATTTTATGCTTTATGCAAGTCGTTGATATATATTAGAAACAAAAGGCCTAAGATGCAACCTTGCGGAACACCACAGGAAACATTTAAAAACTGTTTATGATTAAGTTTATTAAGGTGAGTTTCCACTCATCCGTTTTTCAACGGGAAAGGGAAAGGGAACGGAAAAATAATCACGTGAATTAAATGCGCAGTTTTCTTTCGGACAAATAAAAACCATTATTACGCATGCTCACGTGATTATTTTTTCCTTTCCTATCCCGTTCCCGTAGAAAAACGGATGAGTGGAAACTCGCCTTTACAAAAAACAAATTGTTTTCTGTTTGATAAATAACTTTGAAACCATTTAATTACTCTTTCATTTATTCCGCAATAACTAAGTTTATAAAGCAAAATATCATGATCGACAGTATCAAATGCTTTTGAAAGATCGATAAAAATTCCTAATGTAAATTGAGATTTTTCAAAAGAATTGGAAATTTCACGCACCAACTGAATAATTGCATGCTCAGTTGAGTTATTCTTTTTAAAGCCAAACTGATTTTTGTATAATAAATTATTTAAACTAAAATAATTAAATACTCTATTGAACATGATTCTTTCTAGTATTTTTGAAAATATAGATAAGATAGAAATAGGCCGGTAATTACTTATATCAGATTTGTCACCACCTTTGAAAAGTGGAATGACTTTTACAATTTTCAATTGATCAGGAAAGACTCCTTGTTCTATTGATGATTTAAAGACTTTAAAAAGAATATATTTTATTTGTTTAAAACAATCTAAAATTATGTTACCATTGATTTCATCCGGTCCAACTGCTTTATTTTTTTTAGTGTTTTGAAGGCTTTTTCGAACTCATCAAATAATAACCCTTTAGATAACTCATCCGAGTGAATGCAATTATCCATCGGTACTAAGAAATCTTTAAATGAGGCTTCTGTATTAGGAATTAATTTAGACAGTTTAGGGCCAATTTCAACAAAAAATTTATTGAATTCATGAGCTATTGTTTCAGAATTAATTATACTGTTATTATCCACTTTGATCATGTGTGGCAGGGAACCTGAGCATGATTTTGATTACCTTTTTATTATTTTCCAAAAGCGTTTACAATTATTTTTTGCTTTATTGAGAATTTCAAAATAGTAATACTTTTTTAAGTTTTTTCGAATTTTTTCAAAAAGATTTTTGTAATCTTTGTATGTTTTCTCATTGGCGAGTGATTTGTCTTTTAGATATTTTATGTATAATTTCTGCTTAACTTTAGATGATTTTTTTAAACCTTTGGTAAACCAGGGAGAACTAATGTTTTTTTGATTTATTGTTTTTCCATATAAAGGAAAATTAGCATCATAAACAGAGTAAAATGTATTAAAGAAACTATCGTAAATGTTGTTTGCATTATTAGTAAAGTCGATGTTCTTCCAATGGAGCAATGATAATTGTGTTTTAAATTGCTCAACGTGTTTTTGATTATAGCTACGTAATTTAACTTTTATGTTTGTTTTAGTCATTATTTTAGAGTTGAAGTTAATGGTAAAAAAGATAGGGAAATGATCAGATATGTCTGTTTTTAAGATACCTTTGTTTATGTCACTGTTAAAAATATCAGTTGTTAGAATGTTATTAATTAGAGTAGCTGATTTTGGAGTTACTCTGGTAGGGCGATTTATTAAAGGAATGGCTCCCATTTTAAAAATAGAATCATAAAAATGTCCGTTGAGTAGTGGAATGTCCGTGAAACTTTAATGTCCGTAGAGTAGTGGAAGCAATTCATATTAAAATCCCCTACAATAAAGTTCTTTTTTTTTTTCAAAGAAGCCTTTTTTGAAAAGGTTTTCCTCAAAATACATGTTCATGTTCTCACTCACACCGTTCGGAGGCCTATAGCAACAGCTCAGTAAAATGTTTTTCGATTGATTGTTAAGAATTTCAATAGTTAAAATTTCTTTGTCGCCGTCAGAAATACTTAAATCATTCCTAACATAATGTGCAATACTTTTCTTTACCTAAATAAGAACTCCTCCACCGCGTTTATTGATAAGTTTCTCTTGAGAAATTAACTCAAAGCAAGGAAGATTAAAATTTGAAGTAGTTTTTAAATCATTTTCAGTTAACCAATCTTTAGTTTACTAAACTACTAAATTTAAATTAACAAGTTTATTTTCTACTTTTTAGTACAAAAAAGATATTTTTTACCAAATGTTTTTGCTATATTTTATTATAATATATTAACAACATATAAAATGCGTTATTTTTAATGAGAAGGAAGGGGGAAGGAGGAGAGAAAAATTATTTTTCTAAATTTGTTATTTAAATGTAAGTTAGATAGTAGAACAAAAAAATTTAAAATATATTGTTTCTTTATTTATTTTTTTTTTACAAAGAAATAATAAACCGTAGGTGAAAAATAACATTTACAAAAATAAAATGGAAAAAAAAGTTATCAATTATAAAAAATTTTGATGTTATAAATACTTATAAATAAAGACGTATTATAGGTAACCTATAATATGCATAAAATGCAATCTATAACAGCTTGATAAATATAGTTAGATGAATTTATTTGTCAGCTAATAAATCAGTAAATAAAAAACCGTGCATTGATTAGCACAAATTTATCAAAATTAATAAAACTTTATTATAGTTTATCAATTATAAATTATTATTAAAAAAATGTCATACTGCATAAAATGTGTAATCTGACTAAAAGTAAATTTCGTAAAAACTTTAAAACTTTTGTATTTAATTTTTATACCTGCTTATCTCAAGTAGGAAGCAAAAAGACAATAGATCATATCATTTATAAATATAAACAAAATAAATCTTAAAAGAATAATAATTTAATATACATCCGCTGTTTGTATTTCACCTATTTCATCAGATTTCATATAAAATACCCAGTAAAAGATGTTGAAGATAATAAAAGTGAGAGGTATAAACACCTGTGCAGTCATTTCAATTTTTCTTGCAATTTTCGCATTTTTCATTTCTATTTTTTGAGCTAACTTGCGAACATTCTCTTTTTCTATATTTCTATCACATTGTTTTTTCCGCTTGTGTCCCCATTGAATATTTTTCATTTCAGAACTTTGACGTATTTGTTCTAACTCTATGTTTGTAGTTAATCTTCTGTCATTCTAAGTATGTTATATATATTTACATATATACATATATATATATATATATATATATATATATATATATATATATATATATATATATATATATATATATATATATATATATATATATATATATATATATATATATATATATATATATATATATATATATATATATATATATATATATATATATATATATGTATATATATGTAGATATAATAAAATGGTAATAATATAATTATTAATTAAAATTTACTCTGCTATATTTTCTTTTGACTTTTTTTTTTCTAAATCGTTCCGCGATAACTGATATATTCAGTACAACAGCATACTCTAGCATAGTAAGTACAATATTGACAAGTGAAAAAATGAGATAAACATCAATCTTTTTAAGATAATTGACAGCGGGAAGCTGGTTGTCAATAATCATCCATATATTTGCTATGGTAACCATGGCTGTACCAGAAAGACCTTAGTAATTAAAAACCAATATATAGAACACCATTTTTAATTTAATGTTTTGTTATAAATTAACAAAACTAAAATGATATAAATAAATTTAAAAAATCACAAAACTTTTCAAAGTATTCACAAAGTACAACGTGGTTGCAATATACGTTTTTTTGAAGCAACCACAGCACAATGGTAAAGACTCTTGATCCTAAAATCACAATGGTGATTTTAGGATCAAGAGGTACGAAGTTTAATACCTGCTCTTTTTAACTAGAACATTAGTTATTGCTCTTTAACTACTACTATCAGGTACTGGCACTGTCACTGGCAGATGGTGTTAGTTGTTTGTTTTAGCTGGCAATGTTAGTGAATATTTCTTTGAATTAGTGAAATTATCGCGTGGACACGGAATAATCCGGTAAACTTTAAATTATCGCGTGGGCACGGAATAATCCGGTAAACTTTAAATTAGGATTTCTCTAAAAATATAAAAGTTTTTATTTCAAACTTTTGTTATATTAAATGTGTGTACTTTAATTAGGCTTTTAACTTAATTTTTAGGGGCTTGATGGGTTGTTTTGCAAGTCTTTTTAGGAAACATTTTTTGACGTAAAGATTGGCAGTCAAGGTCTTTTTAGTGACAAAACAAGTGCATACTGCAAATTGCTAAATACTACAAGTGCATAGCTGAAAATTGCTTTTAACACATGGAAATCAGATGCAAACTTTTCTCGTTAAATATATTTAAAGTGATTATTGACAGATTTATTTTTGTTTTCATAGTAAAACTTTTGACCAATAAGTTGTAAAAAATGTTTTGTAGAAGTGACCACGCAAAATGTTTCATTATCTTCAATTATACTTTACATACTTTTATTATTAACAACTTCTTTTGCGCTTAAAATTCCTATAATGGTGAGCCATCTAAGTTTTTCTGGCATATTTTTCTTATAAAATGCTTTAATTTCAGCATTTTAGGTACTTTTTTGATAAAAGCGCGTGAAGTCTTGAATCAAATTGAATTTTTTTTATAATATTTAGAATTAACTTTACCTTTATAGATTTATAGAGAGTTTTCTTTCTTACTCTTCCAGGTTTGCTTTCGAAGCTTTGAGTAGTCTTTAATTTATTTATAATATCGATGACCGTAGATTTTGACCGTAGATTTTGACCGTAGATTTTGGTAAATTTATACGTTTGGCGTTTTTAAAAAATGAAGTCGATGGATTTTTAAAAATTAATATTTTTACAACTTTTTTACACACCTCAAATTGTTTGCGTAACATTTTGCAAATCATTGATTTGTAAACAAAAATTTATCATCACAATTAAAAAGTTTTGAAATAAAAAACTTTTATGGTTTTAGAGAACTCTCAAGTTGAACGAAATTTTTCCGTGTCCATTTGAAATCCTTTAATTATTATTATTATTTTTATTACCACATATCTTTAGTTTCTGAGGCAATCGCGCTAACCACTGCGCTCTGGCTGCTACCTTTAACTTTGATTAAAAACTTTTGCTAAAAATTGATTACAATCTTTAACTTAAATATGATTACAAACATAAAATTGACTAAGATGGTATTTTAAATTCAAATACTTGCTTATTAACAGCTGGTGACGGCTAAGATAACCATGATGATGATATTCTTACTGGAAACACTTGTAAGGGCTAGAGAGGATTAGGATTAGAGAGTGACACGGAAGTTCTTTATTTAAAAAGGGTTTAATTAGCTAAAGTTTTTTAAATTGAAGTTTGTCAAGTTAATCTAAGTTTTATAAAGTAAAACTTGATAAACAAAAAAAAAAGAAAAAAAAAAGGAAAGAATAATTTTACGTAAATGCTTGTTGTTAGAACTGAAAAAAATAAAAAGTTTTCAAAAACTAAGTAAACCTATTCTAGCAGCCGATGCGCTTAATGGCAACCACATTGAAATCCATGATGTTATCACTATTGAAGTTGTAGGAATAAAAATATGAAAAATTGCAAAACCAGCCAAACGTTTTAATCGAAATTCACTGTATAGCTGAGTGAAATTTGATGTTGCGTCACCTGAATTGTTAAATTTTGTATATTTGTAGATTTATAAAAACATCATATATGTTGTATTAATAGATTGAATCAATGACTTACCAATCACATATCTTTCCGTACTATACTTAATCAGTTTAAATTGCGCCATTGGCATTTTAGGAATAAATATACCTGGATCTTTCATCCATTTATAGCTAATGTGACGTGATGATAGAGAGTCTAAACAAAATCATTTATTTTTTCCAATTTAATTCAAATTTAAAAGTTAAAAATAATTTGAAAAAATTTGCTTTTTATGGCATTATTTATGATAAATTTATTTTACGTAGTTTGTAAATTAAATAATTTGGTTACAAGTTTAGTTAATAATCAAAATAAAAAATAAATATTTGATTTACAGCTCTTCATCGAAAAAGTGCACTTCTGTACATCTTTTGGGTAATCTTGCAAATCTAGGTCGCATGCCGGAGATACAGTTACTCTAAGTAAATGTAATTATTTTTGATTAATTAACATAATTTTTATGAAATTTTTACGACAACATAACTTTATCAACAGCAACATAAGGTTAAATATTTAACCTAGTTCCCCAGAAAACATCGCCATTAGGATGAATATCTAATTTGTTATTGTTGACAGTGACAGAATGCAATAAACCATTGACTGAGTTAATAAACACTGTATCTGGTGTCCAGATGATATCTGAAGGGTAATTAGTTCCTACTATTAAGGTTAATTTCTCGCTCATGTTGTGTCTTAATCTGTAATCGTTCCAACGTTGACGGAGAAACATGTCCGCGGTATAAATCTATATATGTATATAGATTTATATGTATATAGATTTATATATATATATATATATATAAATATATATATATATATAAATATATATATATATATATATATATATATATATATATATATATATATATATATATATATATATATATATATATATATATATATATATATATATATATATATATATATATATATATATATATAATGTTTAATGTTGTATTACAATAATAATTGAAAACTCTCGGTTAAGAGTGTTAAGAGTGGTTAAGAGTGCTCAATAATAAACAAAGTATATATATATATATATTTTTAATTGCAAAGAGAAAAAATAACTTTTCATGGGACTATAACTTTCATGCCTATACTGCAATCATCAGCCATATACTATCTATCATATATAGATAGTACATGGCTGATGATTGCCGTATGGGCATGAAAAAAAAACTTTATAAGATTTATTTTAATAACTACCATTTTTGATGCATCTACTTTTGAAAAAGACAATATACTTGCGTCAACCAAAACTTCAACAGGTTTACCTAACGTTTTTAAAAGAAACGTATTTTATATCAGTCACTTGAATTTATAATAAAATTACTATTTGAAAACTTTTTTCAAAAAAACACATCTTACCATAATAATTAGGCCTGAACATTCTGTTGTAGTTAAGGAATAAATTTTCAAATAAAGCATAAATTTCATTGTCGTACATCAATTCTCTAAGATTAATTCAAAAAGTTTTTAACTACCTTTTTCATTATGTTTTTAAAATTCAAAATAATACTATAATACAAAAAAGTACCGTTTGAGAACCACCATTTTTATATTGCACAATAGTAAAAATTGAAATATGAGTAACTTCATCATTTGTTTTCTTAAAACTCTAATTATTAAAATCCTTTAAAAATTCAAAAAAACATTTAGCAAAACAGTTTAAAAAAAATAATTTAAAAAGAAAAACCAGAAACATAAGTTTCAAACAACTTCATCGGTTAATATATATATATATATTTTGGTAAATTTATTGGTGTAAAAACTACTTTAATAATTTATGCAAAAATGAATGCAAAGTTACATAATTTACGTAAAAAAGTTACGCAACAATTTCAATAATTTAATAATAGATGGAAGGGAGTATTAATACAATATCCGTTTAAAACGCTATTTATAGGAAATGTTTCAAGAAACAGAAATATATTACGAGATGGCTTTTAGAGCCAACCCATAAATATACTTTTTAAAAACAAGTTTATTTTAATTTTTAATTTAAAACAAGTTTTTGATCCAACTTTCTATAAACGGACAAAAAAAAATGTTTTACAGGTTTGTACAAGTTTAGCACCAAAAATATTTTTTAAATATAAAATTGTTGACATTTAGTGTAACAACAAACACGAAATACAATCCCAGTAATTGTTATTGACACTGCGTCCTTTTTTGTTACCCAAATGAATCGTACAGGATAGGTTCTATTATGTATACGTTATAAACAATGGAAGAGCATTTAACTAAGTAGTTCACCCACCCTTTGTTACCGATAACTCAAATAAGGCCGGAGCTGGCATCGAACCTTGAACAGTTCAATACTCATCTGTCAATACTCCTTCCATAACCTAAACGTCATCATAAATAAAATCAACCGCAACGAAATCCTTATCACGCTGACGTAACTGATCAATTGAACTTTTTAACGCAGGGAAGTATTCATTATTATTGTCTGGTACTCCTAATCCTTCTGCTTTCCGAAAAGCAGTTAATAATATTGGTTTCTGAAACTTCATTTTAAGAATGAACAAACATTTTCATAGCACCAAGTATGGGTATTGAAGGCATTTGTTTTTCGTTATCAATAGCATTTCCATTATCAATAGCATTTTTGATCTTGTTAAATAAGTTAGTTCGGTACTTAATATTCTTGCACTTCAGCAATTTTATAACTCCTTTATCCACCGCCAGCAAACATAAAGTTGTGTTTGGGTGAAAAAAGTAGAGTGTAACCGGTTTATGATTCTCAATGTTCGGTTTGACTGTGTAATTATCAATAACCAATGCTGCATTACAGCTTTCTAATGCAAGATTGTTTTCTCTGACCCACTCCCAGGGCCGGCGCGAGAAGGTGCCACGTGGAAGGGGGGGGGGGGGCATTACAACTTTTGCCGACTGCCCTCCGACTGCCTAAAAAAAAAAAAAAAGAGGTCCTCGTTTTTTTTAAATTTTCCGACTGCCCTCCGACTGCTATAACGACATTTACCGACTGATTGTCTAAATTTACTGACTAACCTTTTGAAAGGGTCTACATTTGCCGACTAACTAGTCAAAAAGGGTCAAATTTGCCGACTAAAATCATTGATGGGGGGTGTCACACCCCACACACCCCCATCGCGCCGGCCTTGCCCACTCCTCAAATAGTTCAGAGGTCATCCAGCTCTTTTTTTTTGTGAACGGTTACGGCATAGAGTGCCGTAACCGTCCACAAAAAAATTTCTAATTTCTTAAAAGCAACGAAGTTTGTTTGATTTTCTAATAACAAACGTAGGGAGTTTTTCTGCACACGTGTTACCTGCAGCAAGCCCAGTCAATTATTTACTTCAATGAGAAAAGCAGACTTTTAATATAAAGTGCTATCAGTAAAGTCTGTAACTTACACGACTTTAAATGGTCTTTTTAGATTTAAATGGTTGCAGAGTAGCGCTTTGTATTTAATTTTTCGTAACAACCTCCGTACACGACCAAATTTTCTCAGTAAAAGCGCTTTCGCAACTTTAAGCTAATTTAAGGAAAATTTCGCTAATTTAAGGAAATTCTGCGTGTAAGTTCAAAAAAGTAAGTTCAAAAAAGTCACAAATAAAAGTTATATGGGGTTGTCCATTAATTACGTCAACAAAATAGGGGGAAGGGTTCTGAACTTTTTTGACCATTGTTGACATGGGGGAGGGGAGAGTTATTTAAACAATTTTTCTTTTTTCATAAATAACGGAAAATTAGGCTGAATTTTCTTTGCAGAGTAGGGAAGAGAGGGTAATCGAAAGTTATCGTAATTTTACTAGGCGAAAGGGGGGAGGGGGGTCTCTGGAAATTTGACAAAGGGGAGGGGGAGGTAAAAGTTTCAAAAAATTTTTTGACGTAATTAATGGACAGCCCCTATTGTACCAATATGGCTTAGCGTAAATTTAAAAAATATATATTTAGTTGAATAAATAAATTAAATTATTTAAACAAATAAAATAAACTTTATTATTTATCAAAAATATAACGCTTCGCCATTAATTATTTATTTAAAAGTTAAAAAATGGTCAATTATATAAAAACATGGCCAGTATGGGGATCGAACCCACGACATTCGCGTTATTAGCACGACGCTCTAACCAACTGAGCTAACCGGCCTATATTCCGAATGTAAACAATTTAATTTTTAATTCAAGTATTCTGTCACACCGACCCCTAATCTCACCAAGATAAAGGCTCGTCTATAAGGTACGTACGCTTTTTTTTCGACTACCCTTCCCCCCCTCCGCATTTTGCTATACACTTTTTGAGTACCCTCTATCTCCCTAAAAGTGTCAACGCTTTTAACCTACCAAACTAACATTTTATGATATTTTGTAATTTAGTGTCTCTATACTTTTATAATTGACCTACTACCCCACATCTCGTATATACCATTTGCAAACCCCCTCTTCCTCTCTGAGCGCACGTACTTTATGGACGATCCCTAAGTCATCTGCTCATTATGGGTCAATATCTTGGTTGAAGCTAAAGCTACGGCTTTAGAGCAGCAGTAAATAGAGCAATGGTAAAGCAGTAAAAGATCGTTTTGCAACTATTTAACTTATAATGACAATCTGAGCTGAACGTTTGGTGTCCGATAGCTTATAAAGTAAGATCTTCCATCTAAGACTGCAGCTGAAAATAAAATTTTTTTATTTATTTAATAAATAATCAAATCTATACATAAAAAGTTTAATATTGATAAAGGAAAGCAACACCAGACTTTCATGTGCTGACGATTGAGATTGCTGCAGCGGAATATAAAAATACTTTTAAAAGAGTTTACTGTAGGTTCACCAACTGTATCACACGGCTGTTTCACTCTATATAAAAGTGGGCATGACGTCATGAGTTTAGCAAAAAAAAAAGTATTTCCGCATAAAAAGTATAAAAATTCACTAACTTTAAAATAATAGTATTTTTTTTCTAGAAATGCTTTCATCTTTCAATAAAAAATAAATAAAAGATCTATCTTTCCTTGTTAAAAAAATATTTACATTAAACGGACTATAATAAAATATTGTTAAAATATTGAAATTGATTTGGGATCACTTTTCTGTTTTTTGAGATTTTTAATGAAAACCTGTCTTGGGCCAACAAAGATTAGCTGACATAGCTACATGCTTAACGGTTGAAATTTAGAGCACTTATTAATGAGTGTCTATTTTATCATATTCTAACGTTACTGGTGTGTATTTGTAAAAAAAAAAATTTTTATTGCATTTATATATTTAATTTTATTATTTTTAAATGTAAAATTTAACATTTTTGATCAGTAACATAAGTTATTAAAATTTTAACCTTTTATGCATATGAAAACAAAAAATTTATTTTCTGTACCTCTAGCTATGTCAGCTATTATCTTTTCAAACTTAACATGTTTAGCAACAAATATTTTCAGTTTTCGCGTAAATTTTTATAAACATTAAAAAGCGATGACGTAACCTTATATGCGTTACGTCCCAAGCAATTTCAACTGAACTACTGTTTTGGCGAGACAATAAAATAAACAAAGTTTAGCGGAATATTCTTGACTCGTGGAGAATTTTTGCGATTTTTTTATTACGTCTATTGTAGTGCCTGTATTAGTTTGCATTCGGTGTAAATAATGTTAATATGTTTTATAGTTGGTCTAACTATGTTTATATTACATATTAGTCAACAGAAATATAATTTTTCTGATTATTTTTGCTAAAAAGTACCTTTAAAATTTCGAAATTCTGTCAAGTTCGTCCTTATGCGCGTTTATTTAAAAATCAGAGCAGCCTTGGATTATTATATTAATAATAAAATATAAAACATTTAGTCAGTGTTCATATTCCTTTTACAGAACGTATTTTTCTTTAATATTTCAAAAGTTATGAAAGTTTTAGTAACACCCTCTAAGTAAATATTTTCAAAAAATAACAAGAAGCCGTATGTCCACTCTGAAACAGCCGTGATCATGCACCTCCAAACCTCAACGACATGATTAGAACGTAAAAAAAAGAAAAGATGTAGTTATAAAAAAAATTGAACAATATTGAAACATATTGCTCGTCGTTGGACAAGAACAAATCTGGTTTGAGTAGGGATAACCAGACTTGCGCACGAAATCTAGATGTGGTTTAATATACAACTGGTACAGTTTATTCCATAGATGAAAAACTCTAACACTAAAATATCTGCTTGAGACAACCAAGTATTTAATTGCCATCAATATCATTCATGGTAATATCAATTAGTTTTTCCGACAAACAACCTGCATCACTTTGCACTTCTAAAAGTTAAAATTTACAAAACAGTTGAAATTTACAAGACATTTACAGCGCTGTCGACGTCCGCATGCCTCAAATACAATAGGCATGAATCTTATTAAGAAATCGTTGTGCGACAATGTGTTGAATGCTTTGGCAAAGTCGGTAAAAAATATTTTAACTAGGTTTTTTTTTTTTTTATGTAGATTAGGTGCCCCAAGAAGTCCTTACGGTCTTATCACAGAGCACCGCGGTTTTCACTGTAAATTGCTTCCATAAAAATGTTACTGAAATCAATCAGGTTTTTAAGGTAGCCTTTAAGATGTATAAATCCATGTTGAGGCTTTAATAATAGATTGCGCACAGTGTTTCATAATTCTATCTATAAAAATTTTATCTATAACAATTCTTTTCGTCACCTTGCACGGTG